TTTTTTTTTTGTTAAAGTGAACCTTTCTCGTCTTGAATCAATATTCTCCGACAAAACGAGCCATTCTGATTATAAGAACCGTGTCTAAACATAGTTAGTCATGCAGCACCCCTGACCAAACACTTTTGAGCAAGTCTTTATTGTGATAATCAAACCTCGATCAACATTTTTTCAGTTTCTCTAGAATTTGAAACAAGGTGGCATTGAGCAATCAATTCCACATTTTCATCATAGAGGCACGTTCACCACTTCTTCACTTGTCTTTTAAATAACATGGAGGTTCCACAGGTCACATTGTACGAGATAATTTGCGCCTATTTTGACTTTATTTGATACCAAATTACGGACTCAAAACTTTCAGAACTTTTCAGGTTTCATCGCTTCAATATCGCTATGACCACAGTTGAAAGTGGAGTTGTCAGATGTGGGAAACGAAACAGTCACATCGATGCAAACTTGAAAAAATGAGAAAAATGCTCTAAAATATCGAGGATCCGTTACCAGGACTGGTAATAATCGTTTTATCGCAAAAGTATTTATCCGTCGACTACAGTAGACTGGCTGTCGAAAGCTCTTCTTTTTAATAATGTTTGCCATAGAGCACTTTGTTCAATTTTATTGAGAAAAATTCTATGCAGTCTGATTTGTAGGTTATAGCCGATTTGTTTACGTTTTTTTGTTTATAATTTCCTCGCGCCATGATCATCTGACGAGAAATTAAGGCATCTGTTAACAGACTAACTGGATTTGCTTTTTACAGACCGCACCAATCTTTTGGCACTTCAATGTCTTGCCCAAGAAAACTTACAAAACAACGGCGTTGTCTCGCTCGATTGACCTAATGTCCGACGATCTCACGATCTGTTCAGGCTATCAAGATTTTGGCTGTCATTTTCTGGACTGAAACGATTTTATGAAAATTCACTGATGAATGGATTCAACGAATGAATGATTGTATCCATTTACTGATGAATGGATACAAACTAGTAGTGTCATAACCTTTACTTACTATGCTAGTACTTAATCGACTCAACTCTCTTCAAACACTGAGAAAACCCAGCTTCGTAGGCGGTTACTTCAGCCCTAATTTTCTTTCATTAGATTATTTGCAGTTTCTTTAAGTTGGTTTAACTAAGGCATGCCAGTGCAGGTTTATGTTCAGGGTACCGAACGTCCAACTNCACAAAAAATTCACTCAATACGAGATCAAAAGGACAGACAGAACAAATTTCTTTCTTTATTTAATCAGATTCAGTAATTCGCCAGCTCAGCTAGTTAAACCAGCGTGAATCTGTGAAACAAACTCAAATGTACGGACCATGTTCCAATGTGAATTAAGTCAGTTCCTCATAAGAATTCGTCGAATCTGCTGAGCGATAATCGTAAATGGCTATTTTTGTTGCGACAATAAAACCGTTTAAAATGGAGGATAAACATTGACGTCCATCACTTTGTCTTTCAAATGGTTTTCCAAACTCTGCAGCCAATTAGAGAGCCAAGAATCGCACGAGCTATGTATCGCGTGCACGGTGCTAGGTTTTAATTGGCTTTTAAATTTTACACCAATTACAGCAGGATGTTCAAAGCAAGTGAAACACCAAAAGGCAAACTTTCTATTTATAGGTCATCGTCGTTCCTGAGAACATAGATTTCTGATCTGGCAAATCATCGGAATTGTGATGGCGTTCAGTTAAGGTCAGCTTCACAGGGAAAGGTCGTTCTACAAAGCATTCCTGTTTGAATTTCTGTGCATGTTCATGTTGGAGCATTCCCCAGATAACATCACGTGAAATGAATCCCGTTTGAATTGAAAAGGTGTAGGAGCCTGAAAACGAACGAAAAGCCGTGAGGAAAACATCGTCAGTAAGATAAAAATATTAAAATTTTTGTTTGTTTTCTATGCTTGCAAGCCATCCAAAGAGGTAAACAACCGCTGCACATGTAATTCACGTGACTGCAGGTCTGATTCAGGTGACCTAATCTTTGCGTCTCATCCTCTTCCCAGATTAAGCTACATGTAGGGTCCGGATGTTCAAGGGCTAATCGGGACTAATCCTGCATTAACATCCAACTAAGCTTCTAGGAATCTGCTTCAAGAAAATTTCGACGGTGTCAGGTGTGAAATGGTTACATTTTTAACACCCAATCCACCAACAAGGTATTTTATTGGCGTCAACCAGAAACGAGGGTAAATTTTGCCGCCAACAGCAACGCAAAGGTTTCAAAGAGCGCTCCTGCAGCGAAAGCCCTGATAATATTTGGACGGCAAAAATTTCTTACCCAAGAAAATCATCCATATCCATGGTCCGAGCTCGTTTTTTGTCGTAATCACTTTCTGCTAAAAGTTTCTGGACTTTCTCTTTAATATCAAATTCTTCATCCACCATCTGCGACATCAAATCAAAAATTAAATTACAGTTAGGTAGCGAGCGTACATACACAGATAAGGGAATTAATAAAAGACATGTTGGCCCTTGGACCACATGTCATGTATAGTGATAACGATGAAAGTTCCTCCAAAAACAGTTATTTCGGAAACGCTCTTCAAAGTGAAGATTGTGAAAACAGCTAACTAAAGCACCATTTTTGAAGCAATATTTCAGTATTGCTTTAAATCGTTTTTCGAAAACCTCCGTTTGCCTGTTCCTCCACAACTAAAACAAGTCTCTGTATTTATTAGTAAATTCAGTATTTTATGTAATTTTCCTTACAATATCGTTCAGTGAGCAGTGGATCTTGTAGTTCTTCTCCAACATTTCTGTAACGGCACGTGAACTGTGACAAAAAGAAAGCAGAGAAGTCAACAGCATTTTTCGCGCGTTCAATTCCTTTGCCGCTTGAGAGACCACAGAGATTGGACCTGAAAAATTCCATACTGATGACGTAGCTCCACAGAGATCCGCTTGGCGTCTCTGATTGGTTGTTATTTGCGCGCGAAAATAAAAAGTCGAGAAACAACCAATCAGAGACGCTACACGGATCTCTGTAGAGTACGTCACCAGTATGGAATTTCTCGTGTCCAGTCTCATCTCTACATGTTCTGTGTAGATATAGAATGCACTTCATGTTGAAAACGAAGCCAGTACTCTGAAAAACCTACCTGAAACAAGCATTTAGTGTCTTATTTTTTCGTACAAAGGCGATTCTAACGAGACCATCCCATTCCTGAAAGAAATTAAAAAAAAAAAAAAAAGAAATCACACATAGAAAACGGACCAAAGTTAACCAAGAAACCCCAATATATAAATTATATTTTCAAACTAAAGCATCACTCAAATTCATATTAACATCTAGAACTTATTTGTGGCTACTTCTTACCTTAAAATTAACAGGTGGTGGTGGATTTTTCGGTTCTATTCTCACCACACTGGATTCTACTTTTGGAGGAGGACGGAAATTATTCTTCCCAACCTGTCAAAATTTTCGAAAAAAATAAAACATGTCCTATTTGTTATCAAAGTTGCAATCATCTGCCAGGGAACTGTAGGATGTTCCATCAGTGTAAAGATAGTCATTGTGGTTGTCTGACCCGCCTGTTCCTCAGCAAAAGTACATATAAATCAAAAGTTTGCAGAAGAAACATTAAAAGATCAATGATTGATAATATAAAGCTGTGTTCACGCTAGTCCGAAACATGATTAGGTAGTCTGATCACGAAAGAAACATGTTTCATTATGAACAGTGTTCACATCAGGCAGTGCATTGCGCAGACCATGGTTGACTGAACATGATTATTCTGAGCATGATTAAAACAACCTCGCAAGGTAGTTTCAATCATGATCAGACCAAACACATTCAAAATGGTGGATGGACTCGGAGAGGAGGCAAGTGCCCAAAAGAACCAANACACCTCTCCCCCTTAGAATTTCCAAATTTTTGATAACCGTCCTTAGGGTGGGTAGGGATATTTTCTGGAATTGCAAATGGCATAGCATTACCTTCATTAGATGATCTACTCTGGCTAGCAACTGCGTGTTGATTGACAGTCGACAATACAACTTGTCTCCAGGTTGGGCAATTAAACGCTGTGCAAATTCCCTCTGGAACATAAGTACTGCACACCTGCAGATCAATTAAATTAAACATCATTGTTACAACATATGGTTACACAAATAGGGAAAAACTGTGGGGCACCGATGGGCAAGAGGTGTACCTGAAAAATGGTCTGTGAAGTAGCAGCTTGAAAACAAATGGAGATGAAATCTACGAAAAAAGAACACCAATATTATCAGATTCAATGAAAAAATAATTACGTGTTGTTAAGGGTTTTATAAAGGGTTACCCAGTGGTGTGTTGTGCTGTTTGGAGGGAGAGAAGGGAGGAAGTAAAGGGGCTGGTCAACCATGGTAAATATAAGGTAAAGTCTGCACATCAGTCCGTGGCCAACCAGGACGGGGCTTATTCTGGTTTCTGTAGCATGAAGCGACTAGGAGTATTTCTACATCCCGCTGGATGGGATGTTAGTTATTCACTGGGTTACTCCAGGCATTAAATTCACCGGTACTCATTTATACACTGGTGGAGAGAGGCCCTGTGAGAGTAAAGTGTCTTGCCCAAGAACACAACACAATGTTCCCAGCCAGGACTCAAACCCAGACCATTTGATCAGGGAGTTGAAGCATTAACCATGAGGCCACTGTGCCTCCCACCCGCTGGTCAGCCAAGCACAAGAGTAAAAGAAAAGAAGATTTCAAGCAATTGATCAGTGAGATATTAGGATGAGATAGAGCTCTTACCTGATAAGGGAGATTTGCTACACACACATCAAAATATGGCAGATCCGTTTTGAGGACGTCGCCGACCATTACATGAAGCTTGCTCGCTTGAGGACTAATTAATGTAACACATATTTAAACAAAATTAATAAAGCAATCTAAATGTAAGGACTAAGTATTTAAACTAAATGTTTGGTTAAAAAAAAACACATTTGTTTGCCACTATCTATAAAACCAGACATAAGCCACAGATGTAAGATCCTTCACTTACGTTCCTTGCACTCTCTTTTGAAGCTCTGCAACCATACGAGGGTCAACCTCACAAGCAATGACCTAAGCAATGAAAGTAAGGTTTACTTAATCCTTTTAAAGTTAGAGTTAGTAGTTGTGAATAGACAATTTTTCTCTTTATGGTTTTATGATCTACACAAATTTCTTGAGAGAACTTAATTGTTACTGTACATAAACTTTCATGATTCATGGATTAAGCTATATGTTTGATTGCATTTTTTTATGTGATTTACATGCACATGTATTGAACCTAAATCCTAGATACGTTTATTATTGGTCAGGTTGTCAGAGCATCTTAAATAGCATTGCTAAGAAACTTCCCTGGGATGCTAAGGGGGTTATCACCATTCTGAGCCCTAAACCACTCCTTATCTTGATGATTGCTAAATGTCAGAAACAAGCCGTATCGTGGATATACTTGTATTTATAGGGTTATTATATGAAACAGTAACTTAGCTTATATTGTGATTATTGTTAGCTTATATTGTTGTTATTGTTGTTAATCTGTCACATTCTTCCCTCAATCCATTTTGGTTTATAATACCTCAAGGTAGAGCTCTATGTACTTGACAAAAGTTGATTTAACATCAAACTAATGTAAGTTTAAAGACAGCAGCTAAACAATTCTTACCTTTTTGACGCGCTCTAATAGTTTTACTGTCAAGTTTCCTGTACCTGGACCAATTTCCAGAACAGTATCTGTGGATCGTAAGCCTGCCTGTAAAGAGCGAAATATTAGGTACTTTATTTCTACTCTGCAGAGCTCTCACAATGTTTTGAAGCAAGCGGAATTGGACTAGAAGGTTGATGTCTTCCATATCTTTCTAAAGAATAAGATAACTATCAGAGAAGCAAAGCCAGCCAAGATCATGAAGTAGAAAATGTGATTTTTGCTGGTAGCTTGCTACTGAATTTGACAAATCTTACTCTGTCATTTAAACAGAAACAGACATATTCAATTTCAAAAGTAGCTGACATGGCTGCCAGTGAAAATGACCATCTAATTTGTGATTTCGCCCAGCTGCTCTTCAAACTCTAGGATCTACTCTGGAGTAATGGCATTTAAAGATTTTCGTACTTTTTTTGTCAAAACACCTACAGTGACACAAAACTCGTGGGACATCAGCGATGTCACTAATAAAGACGCCTTAAGCTTTAACAGCTTACTGAAACTTTAAATATGTTAGTAAATTAACTTACACTAATATATATAGGCTTACAGTAAGTTAACATAGGAAAAATCGCTACGTAGAAATTAAAAAGATTTTAAACATGTAAAACCAACCAACCTTTTCAACAAGACTAGTTATGACGAGTGGATTCTTTAAAATATGTTGGCCATGTTCTGTTTTGAACTGCAAAGCTGACAACAATATTCAAATCTTATTGAATTCGCACACAACATCATGCCAGTGAAATTGTACAGTGAAAAGAACCTGATCTTAACATCACAAAAACGTCAACATAAGAAATAAAAGCATACCTTGTTGATACACTTGGTTTTGGCCATGCTCTCTACTTTTCTTAGCGGCTTTAACTTTCGGCATTTTACCTTCCCGCACAGAACACAGAACCAAGAAATATTACTCTATTGCTTCACGTTTCGTCCGCCATGTGCAATTTGCTGTTTTGACTCCAACGAGAAAGACTGGGTCGAATTTTTAACCGCTGACCAAACTCTTTTCAAATATGGCGGCCAGCTGGAGCTGAATATGCTCTACAAGTAAACAAATTCTACGCTTGATGCTTAACTTCCAATGTTACAGAAAAGAAATAAAGTTGTACCGTTCATATACAGGGTGTCATTTTTTTGGTTTGGGCCTCAAATGGGGTATCAATTTCCATTTGCTTCATCCTTAAATAGGGTCAGGGTTTAAGACCTTTCACCTCACACACCTATCCTAAATTTAGGGGAGTACCCTCCCCTCTTCTCCCCCCCCCCCCTGCCTTGGGATGGCCCATTTCATATAGAACATTGCAGAACTGCCAATTTGTAAGACATTGTCCATACATTCCTGAAGTAATGATTGCTGTTTTAACCAGAACAGTGCGAGAGGTTTCCTCCAGAGATCAAGACAAGACAGTACCAGATCCCAAAGTTCTTGAGTCCCTTTTAACTGTCCTACACGCTCTTCACGATAATGGTGTACACTCTGCAAAGAACATGCAATGTGCAGGGGTCATGTATAACGCTCTTGGTTATGAAATAAAGAGATTGGATAGCACAATTCCTGGAGCAGGGAAAGGTGTATTTGTCACAAAAGGAACAGTCCCAGCACAGAGCCTGGTAGCTTTATACCCAGGTATGATCAAAACAGAAGTTCTTCGTACTGATAAGCATATGTTTTGTTTTGTGCTGGTTCTGGGAATTTACTTATACATTAGAGCAGCGTCTCTTTTAATATTTACTTTTGTACATATTTGTTTGACAAATATGTAGACACTGTATTGTGTTGTACCAGGAAATATTCATGCCCAATTCCTTCCCCCCAGGATTAAACCAGACAGGAATATTTGCACCTTTTGAGGAAAAACAAGTCATGAAACAAGTAGATGTACACAGCAGATCGCAATCTTGTGTTCCACTATGCTAATCGCCAATAAAAACTAGTGCTACTTGCATAACATTCAGTTGCTTCTTATTCAGGGAGAGCAGCTGCTTGCACCTAATTTTATTTAACACGCTTTTGTTATTTTTTTCTCCCAGGAACCATTTATTGGCCTTATGAACCTATCATGATTCAATCGATTGGAAATCCATTTATCTTCCGCTGTATTGATGGAATTCTTATTGATGGCAATGATAAAGGATTATCCAAAATTATATACAGGTAATTAATTAATCTGGCTTAAAAAGAGCTACTTTAAATGCTTACAAAGACAGCTTTAAGCCATGACGTGCCCTACAAAAATTGTCTTCAATCAACTGCCTAGTTGCATAGGCCTACAATTCGTGCATATGGAGGGGTTTCATTAACATTTTTAGCAGGAGGGCAACTGGTTTTTACAGGCGGGCAAAACTTTTTGACTTGAACTTCTTTTTTAAAAAAACTTTCCACTAGATGGTCAAACCAGGCTTGTAAATCCATCCACGCAGTTGGTCAATTTGCCCAGTTTCTGGCCCTTAATGAAACCTCTGCATACATGTATGGTCAGAGTCATATAGTTCTCTGCATGAATTGCATACCTATAATGATTTCAAGGTAAAAATGTAAATTGCACTAATGTTGTTGTAGGCCTGGTAGCCTCAAGCTAGTGGTTTCTGTTTGTTGCACTGGACTCGCTGTTGAGAAGCCTGGTTTGGATCATGACCAGGCTCATTGTATTATATTCTCACGCGAGAGAGTTTACTCTCATGCTGCTTCTCTCCACCCAGGGGTATAAATGGGAGCCAGTGAGCTGTTAGCAGTAAGAGACTGGGTAACTTGATAACGTTGCAGGTGACCTGTACACTATCATCTCATCTGTCGCATTGGGACTAGCGATACTCCAAGTCACTGATCAAGTCCTGTCCACACTACACCGGAGGAGTTTGAACACAGAGGTTTTTCTCAGAAAACCCATAGGCCTAATTTTTCCAACCACACTACACTGGAGGAAATTTAAAACACAACAATTACCAGTCATTTTGGATTTGTGTTTGAAGAAAACTGAGTTGGGGAAATCACAGGATTATTGTGATATCATCGCTTTTGAAAAGCTCCATCTTCAAAAATTATTGCACGAAAACGAAAAGCCGGCAATTTCGAATTTGTCTCAACTAGTTTGAAGAGAATTTTCAAAAAGCTCAGTTTCGTGACAGATTAGTGTGGATGGTAGACCTAACTGTAGAGCTGCTTTGTCAAAGTGGATGCTGCCTAAGTGGCAGCACTAATGAGCCAGTATGCCCTACTGATCTCAGGAACAGAAACAACATAAACCTTAACAATTAGAATGCAAAGTCTACTACGGACAATATCAAGGTCCTACTCTTTTTCTAGGTCAAATGCGCGGCGAGATCAAATTGGTCCATATCTTCCTTGTGACACCACATGGCTCGGAGATGAACCTGTAAACCCACTTGCCGTGGGGCAGTATGTCAATAACAGGACAAGGAATGTCCCAGCCAATGTAGCTTACCAAGAAGTGGATGTCCCTTTCCAAAGTATTGCACCAAAACTGTGGAAGAACCTTCCAAATGTTTGGTACAGTAGTGGGAACATTGTAGGTGAAAATGCTTTCCTAAGAATGGTTGCACTAGTTTCAGTGGATGAAATTAATGAAGGCAAAGAAGTGTTTTCCTCTTATTTCACAGTGGTACATTAGAATACAATTCCTGGTGAACATTTTACCCTAATCAGGGCTCGAAAAAAGAGCCGTCCAGTCGCGCGGGACAAGAAGATTTTCCTGTCAGGCAAGTTACTTTTCATTCTCACTTGTCAAAGGGCAAGGGCACAGCCAGGTCATCTGCCAACTAATTTGCAAAAAAAGTTAACTAAGACCTGCCCAGGGTAAGCAAAATTTGAGAACTATTGGTATGATGGGCAAGTTGGAATTAAAGTTTTTTTCAAGCCCCGCTAATGTAATATGCATTGTAATACCTTCAAATAAAAAAAAAAAATCAAAAATAATTTTGTAAAAACATTGAAATTGTGATGATAAATAAATGAGGAACAAAGAAGTTCAAAACTGAGAATTAAGATTTTCTGCAATTATAGCTGGACCAGTAATATTTAGGTACCGAAACACTGGCAAAATTGACAGTAGGGAAACAATTCATTGCATGGGGTTTGATTTGTGTTCCTATGACATTTATCGTTCTCCCAAACGTTCATTTTGTGCTTCTATAGTGCGATAGAAACACAGAATTTATTCTCACCATAATTGTTTTGTTTTTTTTGTTTTTTTTGTTTGTTTGTTAGTTTCTTTGTTTTTTTTTCATTGTTAGAGTGAGTTTTTTTATTTAAAATGTAAGAAACAGAAAACATTTGCTTGTTTATATTGAGTGATTGGAACTAGTTTGGGAGAATGAGAAATGCTGTGGGAACATGAACCAACAGATGAGTGTTTCCACAGCTTTTTGAATTCTCCCAATCTTTCACAATCATGAGTGTTTCTTTTACTTGACAGAAACAGAAAATGTTTTCTATCTTTTTTGGGAAAACAGCCTAAAGAAACTAACGAATGTGACTACAACTTTTCTGTGTTTCTGATTTTCAACTAATCACCATGAATATTTTCTTTGGGCTATGTTCTAAACACATAAAATATACAAACTTCTACCTTTCAAGATCAGAAAAATCACTGCATAATGAAATAATCTTTAATTATTGAAAAAATATTAAATTCTATATAATTATGCTAAATGATTGTGCCAATAATTTAAATTTGTTATACTTAATTACAAATAAGCACAAATTAAATATGTAATTTTTTCTTTCCCTACTAGACTAGAATGATTTAACACATTCTTTCTTTTCTATCTACAAAAAATTATAGACATAATGTACATTGAATACTAACAACCTATGTGTACTGAATGTTTAAATGTTCATGTAATTAGAAATCTCTTCAACTTGCTAGAAAACAACAAAGAACTCTAAAACTACTTGGACTGGGTGTACTGCATAGCAGTTCCTCTTGTTAACCCTTTAGTCCCTTTGCATTNATGAAGCTTGCTCGCTTGAGGACTAATTAATGTAACACATATTTAAACAAAATTAATAAAGCAATCTAAATGTAAGGACTAAGTATTTAAACTAAATGTTTGGTTAAAAAAAAACACATTTGTTTGCCACTATCTATAAAACCAGACATAAGCCACAGATGTAAGATCCTTCACTTACGTTCCTTGCACTCTCTTTTGAAGCTCTGCAACCATACGAGGGTCAACCTCACAAGCAATGACCTAAGCAATGAAAGTAAGGTTTACTTAATCCTTTTAAAGTTAGAGTTAGTAGTTGTGAATAGACAATTTTTCTCTTTATGGTTTTATGATCTACACAAATTTCTTGAGAGAACTTAATTGTTACTGTACATAAACTTTCATGATTCATGGATTAAGCTATATGTTTGATTGCATTTTTTTATGTGATTTACATACACATGTATTGAACCTAAATCCTAGATACATTTATTATTGGTCAGGTCTTCAGAGCATCTTAAATAGCATTGCTAAGAAACTTCCCTGGGATGCTAAGGGGGTTATCACCATTCTGAGCCCTAAACCACTCCTTATCTTGATGATTGCTAAATGTCAGAAACAAGCCGTATCGTGGATATACTTGTATTTATAGGGTTATTATATGAAACAGTAACTTAGCTTATATTGTGATTATTGTTAGCTTATATTGTTGTTATTGTTGTTAATCTGTCACATTCTTCCCTCAATCCATTTTGGTTTATAATACCTCAAGGTAGAGCTCTATGTACTTGACAAAAGTTGATTTAACATCAAACTAATGTAAGTTTAAAGACAGCAGCTAAACAATTCTTACCTTTTTGACGCGCTCTAATAGTTTTACTGTCAAGTTTCCTGTACCTGGACCAATTTCCAGAACAGTATCTGTGGATCGTAAGCCTGCCTGTAAAGAGCGAAATATTAGGTACTTTATTTCTACTCTGCAGAGCTCTCACAATGTTTTGAAGCAAGCGGAATTGGACTAGAAGGTTGATGTCTTCCATATCTTTCTAAAGAATAAGATAACTATCAGAGAAGCAAAGCCAGCCAAGATCATGAAGTAGAAAATGTGATTTTTGCTGGTAGCTTGCTACTGAATTTGACAAATCTTACTCTGTCATTTAAACAGAAACAGACATATTCAATTTCAAAAGTAGCTGACATGGCTGCCAGTGAAAATGACCATCTAATTTGTGATTTCGCCCAGCTGCTCTTCAAACTCTAGGATCTACTCTGGAGTAATGGCATTTAAAGATTTTCGTACTTTTTTTGTCAAAACACCTACAGTGACACAAAACTCGTGGGACATCAGCGATGTCACTAATAAAGACGCCTTAAGCTTTAACAGCTTACTGAAACTTTAAATATGTTAGTAAATTAACTTACACTAATATATATAGGCTTACAGTAAGTTAACATAGGAAAAATCGCTACGTAGAAATTAAAAAGATTTTAAACATGTAAAACCAACCAACCTTTTCAACAAGACTAGTTATGACGAGTGGATTCTTTAAAATATGTTGGCCATGTTCTGTTTTGAACTGCAAAGCTGACAACAATATTCAAATCTTATTGAATTCGCACACAACATCATGCCAGTGAAATTGTACAGTGAAAAGAACCTGATCTTAACATCACAAAAACGTCAACATAAGAAATAAAAGCATACCTTGTTGATACACTTGGTTTTGGCCATGCTCTCTACTTTTCTTAGCGGCTTTAACTTTCGGCATTTTACCTTCCCGCACAGAACACAGAACCAAGAAATATTACTCTATTGCTTCACGTTTCGTCCGCCATGTGCAATTTGCTGTTTTGACTCCAACGAGAAAGACTGGGTCGAATTTTTAACCGCTGACCAAACTCTTTTCAAATATGGCGGCCAGCTGGAGCTGAATATGCTCTACAAGAAATGGATTGAAAAATGGAGAAGTTACCGATACAGATTTGTGCCTTGGATTGCTTTGAATTTGAGGAAAAGGTTGGATGACCCGTTGTTTGTTTATAGCATTCATAAGCTAGCAATAAGCTTACAGTACGATATCCAGTTTGCACGAACAGTGCTAAAGCGCGTTTTTCAGACAAGCTTATTTAATTAGCTGACCTTAGCTAGTGTCACTTTGGCCAGTTAGTTAAGAATTTTGTCGTGAGATAAAATTCATGGCTAAGACACTAGACGTCTGCAGTCTGTAGTGTAGATGGCTTGGAACATCTTTTGAGAGGCAATTCTTAACCCCCATTTTAAAGGAAGGCCCACCGGGGGTTTACTCCCATCTTTAAATAGGGTATCATTCTATCCCCTGTTGGCAGTGTGATCCTTAGATAGGGTACCTAAATTGTATCAGCTAAAATTCATTGCATAAATGTCTACGTGTAGTTAAACGAAAAACAAATTCTACGCTTGATGCTTAACTTCCAATGTTACAGAAAAGAAATAAAGTTGTACCGTTCATATACAGGGTGTCATTTTTTTGGTTTGGGCCTCAAATGGGGTATCAATTTCCATTTGCTTCATCCTTAAATAGGGTCAGGGTTTAAGACCTTTCACCTCACACACCTATCCTAAATTTAGGGGAGTACCCTCCCCTCTTCTCCCCCCCCCCCCTGCCTTGGGATGGCCCATTTCATATAGAACATTGCAGAACTGCCAATTTGTAAGACATTGTCCATACATTCCTGAAGTAATGATTGCTGTTTTAACCAGAACAGTGCGAGAGGTTTCCTCCAGAGATCAAGACAAGACAGTACCAGATCCCAAAGTTCTTGAGTCCCTTTTAACTGTCCTACACGCTCTTCACGATAATGGTGTACACTCTGCAAAGAACATGCAATGTGCAGGGGTCATGTATAACGCTCTTGGTTATGAAATAAAGAGATTGGATAGCACAATTCCTGGAGCAGGGAAAGGTGTATTTGTCACAAAAGGAACAGTCCCAGCACAGAGCCTGGTAGCTTTATACCCAGGTATGATCAAAACAGAAGTTCCTCTTACTGATAGGCATATGTTTTGTTTTGTGCTGGTTCTGGGAATTTATTTATGCATTAGAACAGCGTCTCTTTTAATATTTATTTTCGTACATACTTGTTTGACAAATATGTAGACTTGAACATTGTATTGTGTTGTACCAGGAAATATTCGTGCCCAGTTCCTTCCCCCTAGGATTAAACTAGACAGGAATATTCGCACCTGTTGAGGAAAAACAGGTCATGAAACAAGTAGATGTAAACAACAGTTTGCAATCTTGTGTTCCACTATGCTAATTGGCAATAAAAACTAGTGCTACTTACATAACATTCTGTTGCATCTTATTCGTGGAGAGCAGCTGCTTGCACCTAATTTCCTTTAACACACTTTTGTTATTTTTTTCTCCCAGGAACCATTTATTGGCCTTATGAACCTATCATGATTCAATCGCTTAGAAATCCTTTCATCTTCCGCTGCATTGATGGAATTCTTATTGATGGCAATGATAAAGGATTATCGAAAATTATCTACAGGTAATTAATTAATCTGGCTTAAAAAGAACTACGTTAAATACTTACAAAGACAGCTTTAAGCCATAATGTGCCCTACAAAAATTCTCTTCAATTAACTGCCTAGTTGCATAGGCCTGCAATTCGTGCATATGCAGGGGTTTCATTAACATTTTCAGCAGAACGGCAACAGGTTTTTACAGGCGAGCAAAACTTTTTGACTTGAACTTCTTTATAAGAAAAACTTTCCACTAGATAGTTGAACCAGGTGGGCAAATCCATCCTCGCAGTTGGTCAATTTGCCCGGTTTCTGGCCCTTAATGAAACCTCTGCATATGGTCAGAGTCATATAGTTCTCTGCATGAATTGCATGCCTATAATGATTTCAAGGTAAAAATGTAAATTGCACTAATGTTGTTGTAGGCCTGGTAGCCTCAAGCTAGTGGTTTCTGTTTGTTGCACTGGACTCGCTGTTGAGAAGCCTGGTTTGGATCATGACCAGGCTCATTGTATTATATTCTCACGCGAGAGAGTTTACTCTCATGCTGCTTCTCTCCACCCAGGGGTATAAATGGGAGCCAGTGAGCTGTTAGCAGTAAGAGACTGGGTAACTTGATAACGTTACAGGTGACCTGTACACTATCATCTCATCTGTCGCATTGGGACTAGCGATACTCCAAGTCACTGATCAAGTCCTGTCCACACTACACCGGAGGAGTTTGAACACAGAGGTTTTTCTCAGAAAACCCATAGGCCTAATTTTTCCAACCACACTACACTGGAGGAAATTTAAAACACAACAATTACCAGTCATTTTGGATTTGTGTTTGAAGAAAACTGAGTTGGGGAAATCACAGGATTATTGTGATATCATCGCTTTTGAAAAGCTCCATCTTCAAAAATTATTGCACGAAAACGAAAAGCCGGCAATTTCGAATTTGTCTCAACTAGTTTGAAGAGAATTTTCAAAAAGCTCAGTTTCGTGACAGATTAGTGTGGATGGTAGACCTAACTGTAGAGCTGCTTTGTCAAAGTGGATGCTGCCTAAGTGGCAGCACTAATGAGCCAGTATGCCCTACTGATCTCAGGAACAGAAACAACATAAACCTTAACAATTAGAATGCAAAGTCTACTACGGACAATATCAAGGTCCTACTCTGTTTTTCTAGGTCAAATGCGCGACGAGATCAAATTGGTCCAAATCTTCCTTGTGACACCACATGGCTCGGAGATGAACCTGTAAACCCACTTGCCGTGGGGCAGTATGTCAATAACAGGACAAGGAATGTCCCAGCCAATGTAGCTTACCAAGAAGTGGATGTCCCTTTCCAAAGTATTGCACCAAAACTGTGGAAGAACCTTCCAAATGTTTGGTACAGTAGTGGGAACATTGTAGGTGAAAATGCTTTCCTAAGAATGGTTGCACTAGTTTCAGTGGATGAAATTAATGAAGGCAAAGAAGTGTTTTCCTCTTATTTCACAGTGGTACATTAGAATACAATTCCTGGTGAACATTTTACCCTAATCAGGGCTCGAAAAAAGAGCCGTCCAGTCGCGCGGGACAAGAAGATTTTCCTGTCAGGCAAGTTACTTTTCATTCTCACTTGTCAAAGGGCAAGGGCACAGCCAGGTCATCTGCCAACTAATTTGCAAAAAAAGTTAACTAAGACCTGCCCAGGGTAAGCAAAATTTGAGAACTATTGGTATGATGGGCAAGTTGGAATTAAAGTTTTTTTCAAGCCCCGCTAATGTAATATGCATTATAATACCTTCAAATAAAAAAAAAAAATCAAAAATAATTTTGTAAAAACATTGAAATTGTGATGATAAATAAATGAGGAACAAAGAAGTTCAAAACTGAGAATTAAGATTTTCTGCAATTATAGCTGGACCAGTAATATTTAGGTACCGAAACACTGGCAAAATTGACAGTAGGGAAACAATTCATTGCATGGGGTTTGATTTGTGTTCCTATGACATTTATCGTTCTCCCAAACGTTCATTTTGTGCTTCTATAGTGCGATAGAAACACAGAATTTATTCTCACCATAATTGTTTTGTTTTTTTTGTTTTTTTTGTTTGTTTGTTAGTTTCTTTGTTTTTTTTTCATTGTTAGAGTGAGTTTTTTTATTTAAAATGTAAGAAACAGAAAACATTTGCTTGTTTATATTGAGTGATTGGAACTAGTTTGGGAGAATGAGAAATGCTGTGGGAACATGAACCAACAGATGAGTGTTTCCACAGCTTTTTGAATTCTCCCAATCTTTCACAATCATGAGTGTTTCTTTTACTTGACAGAAACAGAAAATGTTTTCTATCTTTTTTGGGAAAACAGCCTAAAGAAACTAACGAATGTGACTACAACTTTTCTGTGTTTCTGATTTTCAACTAATCACCATGAATATTTTCTTTGGGCTATGTTCTAAACACATAAAATATACAAACTTCTACCTTTCAAGATCAGAAAAATCACTGCATAATGAAATAATCTTTAATTATTGAAAAAATATTAAATTCTATATAATTATGCTAAATGATTGTGCCAATAATTTAAATTTGTTATACTTAATTACAAATAAGCACAAATTAAATATGTAATTTTTTCTTTCCCTACTAGACTAGAATGATTTAACACATTCTTTCTTTTCTATCTACAAAAAATTATAGACATAATGTACATTGAATACTAACAACCTATGTGTACTGAATGTTTAAATGTTCATGTAATTAGAAATCTCTTCAACTTGCTAGAAAACAACAAAGAACTCTAAAACTACTTGGACTGGGTGTACTGCATAGCAGTTCCTCTTGTTAACCCTTTAGTCCCTTTGCATTGTCGATATTTTATAATTTGTTAAAAATCCTCCTAGAGGTCTACTGTGACTCATCTGACGTAGGGTTCAGCAGTTCAGCACAAATGATTTCATATTTAATTCTAATCAGCATATTCTAAAATTTCTAAAAATTGTTCTACAATTAAATGATGCTGTAAAATTGTGAAAGTAACAATAGGTAACGAAACGTGCCAAATGATATAATATCCAGTTTTTTTGTAGTTTGATACTGACATCTCTAAATTTACTTCACACAATCATGATGAGGTTAGCTATAAAAGATCCGCTTTAAATAGACTGCTTTTGTGTTTATTTCGAGGGCCATTAGTTTATCAGTTTTGTTACTGTCAAATGTTACCCTCTCCAATAAATTCTACTACCACTACTACTACTAGTCTGTTTTTCTCTCAAAATTCAGCGTAGGTTATGAGGTGAGATGCTTTAGCCTTCTTGGCCATACCGCTCTTGTCTCACCTTCCTCCCTACTCAGCCAGAGCCATAGCATTGCATTCACGATAGCTAAACACTCATTCAAGTGACCCTTAGAGAAAAACTGGCTGCCAGCAGACTAGCTATAAAGGTTAATGTACCACAACCAAAATGTTCAGTGAAACTCTGCTACAACAAAAGAAAATACTGGGAATCCAAATTTAACTACCAATTCTAAGGCCTTTTAGACTCATCTCATTTTATCACATGTAATGCAATGTCACTAAATATAACAATAAATGTGCTAGAGTTAATAGAACCAGTTAGTTTCCAAACGGTCAGTAAAGCTCAGTAAAAGAGTCACTGTTGCTAGATATCTCGTGTTGATCCAAGTGGTCATCAACTGATGCCCTCCTGTTGGCAATTTCTTTTAGTCCAGAAATAAGGTCATTGAACAGGCTTTGTCTTCGCTTACCATAAGCTTGCCCTCCCGGTTCTAGCTTCAGCGGTTCTGAAGAGAAGTGGCCCACCTCAAATGCCACAACAGCAGCATGATCTAACTTCCCTGGCAACTCACACATCTGCTGCGAAATGTTTTGCTCTCTAGCTCTGCGAAATTCCTTATTTGATGCAACCAGGTTGTGATCATCACGTCTGACTTGTTCCAGGAAAGAGCGCTTTTTCTGAGTGGATTTACACACATGTGAAATGAGCTTTGCACAGACTGCCATCGCTGATACTTGATCTTCAGGTCCTTCTTCCTGGATAACCTGCGTGAACAAAAGATAATTCAGTGATTGCTGGTATATCATAAACACACAAGTCCTAAAAGGGGCTTGTTGCCAATGGTGCCATGCCCAAGTATCTCTGTTTCTAATCGTCCCTTTGCAGTATGCCTTGCTTGAAGAGACTTTAGTTAAGTTGTGGCCAGATGGGGCAGTAGAGCCAACATGACTTGAAATTATTGGATATCAGAACAGCAGAAACAGCTTTGGATTGGCTTATTGAAAACTTGGGTTTCTTTAAGGGTGGCTATCAGCTAGATGCAGTAATTGAATGCACTTTGAGCTTGCGACTGAGAGGTATTAACTTTTCCCTATCTACATATACCTTAGTCATGTCATCCAGCATGGTCTTGTGTCTCGCTATTGGTGGGTCATATGCTTGATGCTGGGGAATGCCATGGTCGCCAGGAATCTCACAAAGTGTACACGGCACAATTATGGGATCAAAGTTATCGGAAATGCCGTCACTTGTGAGGAAGACAATGTCTCCAGAGTCAAGAACAGTAAATGAGAAAGTCAGATTTCTCAAGTCTGGATTGTAACCATCAACAGGGCCAAGGGATCCCCCTGGGTTACTCATGTCTCTTTCCTCGTTGTCATAGTGTGAACCGATGGTCACTTCTTGTACACCTTTACTCGTCTTGTATGTAAATGCAAGGCTGTCACCAACATTGACTACACAGAGACCCCACCTTTCACTAGCTTTAAGTTGACAAATGACAGCTACACACAAAGTCGTTGTTGTTGCGTTGTTGTCCTTGATGAACTCCTGTGCATGGTGAAATGCGTTAAGTAGAATACTCAAAATATCACAAGTAGTGTTTGCCGTGTATAAATGACTGCTTAAATATTGTAAACAGCCTGCAACAGCACAACGAGCAGCAAGTCTTGACTTTTCACCCCAACCTACGCCATCAGCTAATGCTAGAATGCTACTGTTTTCTCCAGCTACCACTGCATAGACATCAGCAATTGGGTCTCCAGAAGTGTAGGTTGTAACAGGATCACATTCGTACAATGAGGTTCCAATACCATAAGCTCGAGGTTGCCGCTCTGTCCATCTGCCAAAGGGTTCATGGCCTGGAGGGATGTTCCTAACACCCTCTTTAGGTCCTGTAGCTGCAGCAAATATTTTTCTACTGAGTGGTACAATTTTGTGGCATGGGAGGTCGCAGTAGCGCTTACTCCAGTGTACTTCATTTTGCCACACCATTATTTCTCTAACAGACGAAAAAGAAAAAGGCGAAAAGTTAAAATTTCCACAGCCTGACATGTACAAATACACTTCACATCCTTCCGCACGGCAGGGATTTTTTTTCCAAGACCCCACCACCACTCAGGAAATTCCAATTACGTTTGATACATTTCTTTAAATGTTTTGGTCTTAGAGAACCCCCCACCCCCCAGGAAATTCCAATCCCTTCTATGGGGGAGTATGAATATTTTCTGGAACTTCACAATGTCAAAAAAAATTAACAAAAAATAGAAACACGGCTTTCAAATTAATTTATTATTATTATTGGTTTGTTTTTTTGTTTTGTTTTGTTTTGTTTTTGTTTTGTTTTGTTTTTCTTTTGATTAATGGAGGACCCGGAAGTGCCTCGGTTCGGCTGTTGCTCCAGTACTCGGACTGAAGAAGACATTTGCATGAATGTTCCACAAAACACAAACAGTCCTTCATCGATCTGTCTGTTTCTTGACTAGGGTGTCACACATGTAAAGCCAACACAAACAGTCCTTAGGCAATAAATACCTCGGCAATAAAATATTACCTGTGTATTTAATACTGCATGTTCAAAATGGTAGCTGCAAGCCTGTTTTCTTGAACATATTGCCGTTTCTTAGATGGGCAACTAACGAAAACTTTACTGAGGTTGCAGAGAAGGTGTTTTTAAGGGAAAGTTCAGAAATGTAGCTTAAATTTTGCGTCTGGGAAACGAGTTTTGTTCGCACGAAAATAGGTCATTCTATAGGCACACATGGCAACTATTGACCAAACAGTTCAAATCATTAATCCTACCTTGTTTGTCATGAAGCAGTATTGAAGTAAAGGAAAGTGTTCACCCAGACTATAGAGACTACAGCGAAATGGTACCAGCCTCTGCGAGGAGCCAAGTTGTTCAGTTCGATAACTGAGAAACTGTAATCCAGTATTATAAGGCGGTAGAGGCTCTAAGTTCTCGCTGCAAATGTTTTGTTCCGTTTAAGACACGTCGACGTCAAAACTGGCTATATATCACCTAAACAAAACCCGCTCGTGGAATAATTGCAATCACGTTTCGTATCAGGACCGGACTCGCATGTAGTCACGCAATGAAAAAATGCGCTCACATGTTTCGTTGCCGTGACTTGTTTGGTTCTCGTGTATCGAGTAAAATCGCGCTTTTGGTTTCACATGTTGGTCACGCTAACATTAATTGCACTCACGTTTTTTCCGTGGAGTGACATTCCTGAGTTTCGAAAACAACAATTTACCCAGACAAGAACATCAGTTCTTTCAGATTGTTTACTTTTACAAATTTACAGGGGTTAGTAAGAGTATTAAAGGCTTATAAAATACTGTGCGCCGACACGAATTGAAAATAACCAGGACTTTAAAAACAGTTACACACTTTGACACAGTTATAAATGGTCTGCTATGACTTGTTCAACAAAGAAAAGCAATATATCTTATTCAAAAGGAAATGACTGAAACCTACCTTTTTTGCTTGAAAAATTTCCCCAGCCAGGGAAGAATTTGTTTCGATGTTGGTCCTGCTAGAACGTACGATTTAAAGCCGAAGCTTTCTGTGCCCCGAGTTTAATTTATTGCTCCGTATAAACTTTTATGCTAAAAGGTATACTGCTATCGTAAATACTGGCTTTTGACTGATTGGAAGCAGATCAATTTATTCTGTGGGTTATTACCCTTCTGCGGATTAAATTGTATCGATAGCAAAATTGAAAGCGAAAGTGTCCCACACAAAACTTGCAGGTTCGGGGTCGTTTCAGACAAACAAAAGGCTAGTTATGAAGAAGCAGCAATCAACAGACACACGAAAAAAACTGTTTTTTGAGTTTTTCCGACCACGTAAAATTACGAAGATCAATCGATATTTCGTGGTTATCTTTAATAAAACCATTATTGCACTGCTGCCTGCTGGATATTAGTCTTTCATCTCGTATCCAACGCGCGGGCGTGGAATAACTGTGAAATCGCTCAAATGTAGTCACGTCAAGTGAAAACTGCACACACAATTTCTGTCAGCACAATCTACCAAAAAAGGAAGTGTTTAAATGTAGTAAAGCAAGAAAAATTTTGCTTATAAATTTTCAAAAATGGAGAATAATAATAATAGAGGTTTTGCTTAACTTTTGCGTGGATTTGCTAGTCCCACAAATCAGCGATGAAGGAAGACACTGGAAATCGCGTTTTTAGACCAATTTATCCAAGAGAAAAGAGTAATAATATTTAACTTTATCACGGTTTTGAAAGCCATCTTGACGATTAGGACTAAACAACGTCAGAAATTACAGTGTTTGTATGGGAATCCGATGGCAAATAATTTTCATAAAAATATAATTATGAAGAATTATGAATAGCAAAGTTAAGATATTAGACATTTGACAATATATATATATATATATATATATATATATATATATATATATATATATATATATATATATATATATANCTTTACTGGCAACCAACTGAAGAGGTCACAGACAAAGCAAGTCTCGAAGTCGCATATATTATGTAACTGTGTATCAAAGGAAAATTCAAACGAAGCTTTTCCCAGAACAAGATGCTGTTCAGTTATCATACTTTCTCGCTTTAACAAGTAGAACTTTGTAATGGAGGCTATTGTGCATGGTTTATATGTTCCCACAACAATACAATGATTGGTTTAAGTGAGTGGCAAAAGCGTCCATAGAGGGGTGAAGCCATATTTTTCTATGTTTTCTTCATTAATGACTAGAGCAGGGCTTGAAAAAAGTGCTGTCCAGTTGTCCACGACAAGTAGATTTTGCTACCGGGCAAGTTACTTTTCATTCTCAATCAGCCAATGGAAAAGGGTCCAGGCAAGTCGTCCTCCAACTAAATAACACTTGTTCCTTCAATCACTGATCTCCATTGCTTTCCATTTGTAACACTTTGGAAGTGATTACATTCACTGCATTTAGTGTTGGTGAGTTAGGAAACAAGTCAATAAAGGCTTGGCCATCTCCTAAGGATTGCGTTAGACTGGGATCCAGTGGAATAGAACCTACAAAGAAGAAAAAAATCATTCTTTCAAGATCTAAAAGCAAGATATAGCTAGAAGACTCTCCTCTGTGGAAACTGACTGATTTCAATGCCAAATTGAACACATTGCATCAGTGAGAATTTTCTGCAATTTGTAATGACTCCTAGCTAGACTAGATCACAAACAATCTGTTCTGCTATGTGATAAGCTTGACACAACAAAGAATTTGGTTGACATTCCTAACGCTTCCAGCAAACAAGACGTTTGCATTTCCAGACAACGTACTTCGCTGCTTTTTTTTGTTTATCAAATAAAGAAACTTAAGCTGTGTATTACACTGTGATAAAACACGACAGGCATTTGAGAACACCCTCGAGGGAAATGTACAAAACATAAGCCGCAGGCGAGCGATATAGACTGAGGTAATGTGGCAAAAACATTTTACACAAAACATGATCTAGATTGCCCCTAACCCCTCTATCCCCCTTCCTGTGTAGGCACTGATGTTAATAAGTATTTTTACCTAAAAATGGAACATTGTGGCTTTTTGCCAAGGCTTCACCTCCTGCTTTTAAAAACGCACTTGTGCATTCCTAAAAGAAAGAAAGTGGAATATTCTTACATACTATGAAGATGAAGAAGTAAACTTTCCGAGATCCAAATAAGGCTTATTAATAATTGACAGCAATAATTTAGAAAGCTTATAATAACTACTTTATGCATACCTGAGGAGTAGTGACAAGAATTGCTCCATCTGGATTATATAATGTCGCAGATTTTCTACTACTGTAATGTGCTCATCAGATGTCCCTGGATTGAACAAAACCAATCTTAGAACAGAGCAATAATGATAGGATTACACTGCATACTGCAAAATGAGATGCGTACTATTGTACTATCAGCAAAGTAAACAAATTGAATAAAGAGTACACTGTATATCTACTCTGATCAACTCCAGTCTCCTAGTATGGAGTATTGTTCCCTCCCCCTTAATCTCCTTAATATCCCTGTCTTTTTGCAGTTCAGATTGCCCAACAACTTGTTAGTACTCATTTCTCCTCTTATGTGATGAGAGGCATTGCAAGTCAAGTCTCTCACCTGTGAATGCAGTACAAAGACCTATGGAATCCAGGCCTATTGATCTAGAGTGTATGACATTAACCACTGGGCCACTGTACCTCACACACCATATATTGTTGTCATACCTGGAGGTGTATCAATAATCTGGCAATCCAGGTCACTCCAACACACATCTGATAGAAACTGCTTGATCATTGCTAAAAAAAAATACCAATAACTGTTGGATGAGAACTCAAGGAAGTCTGCCAGAACATCAAAATGTTTGTATAAGCACTCTATAGAATTTGCTCCATTTTAAAAATCATTAACATGAAAAGCACATTGCAGACAGTATGGTGCACTGGCCTGGAACAAAGTTGTTTTAAAATAATAGTAAAACATTTTGCTGATTTCATTTTCCTTTTCAATCAAAAGCCCAGAAAAGCCACTGTGATCACAAAATAATTTGCATAACTTTTGTACAAATTGTTAAACTGTAGATCCTAGACAAAACTGCCCCCAAAAAAGTAAGTTCTGTTTGCTCGCTATCAACAAAGCCTAATTATAACTACCCTTACTTAGAAAACATTTTTTGAGGTTTCCTGCATTTTAAACTAAAGGAAATTTTGTGCATTACAAAAAATAACTTGATATGTGGTGGCATAGCTCCTTGAAGTGATTTCAGTAGAGTTTCACTAATGACGAGACACTCAGATCTAGCTTTGATTTACAAGCTTGATCAGGTCAAAGTAAGTCAAAAAATATATAAGTTAAGAGCATAAAAGAATAAATACCTTTTTTCTTAGGTCCTCTCCAGTCAACAACATCATCTCAGTCTGTTGTTAAACAAGAAACCAATTGACAACCAATTGTGTAAACTGGAACCCAACTAAAAGGAAAGGTTCAGGTGATCTTCAGAAAATACTTGTAAACACCTTCAGCAAAGAACATAGGGAAGCTTTGATTTCAATAACATATCAGCTGATCTTATAAAAAAGTTTAGAAGGTGAGGTATGTATATGAAAAGTATGATAATTAAAACACAGGAGTGTTTATACCGGGAGGGGGGTACTCCCAGAAAAGTTGGGTGGGGGTGTGCGGCCCACTTCCCAAAATCCTTACCCTATTTATGACGATAATCTGCGATTTTCCCTACCCTATTTATGACCTGGCAAAACATCTGATACCCTATTTGTGACCGTTGCCACTGGCACAGTTGAAGGGCATTTGTTGATGGTCTTATTGATAATGATGAAAGAGTACCTTCTTCTAAGAAACATACCCAATTCAAGACTAGTGCTAAAACCATACCCTATTTTAGACCAAAACGCCTGAAAAACCCCTCCCCTTTGGGGCTGCACATACCTATATAGCCCATATAAGGGAGTACCCCCATTCCCCCCTCCCCGGGCATTTATAATCCAAATAATAGGGACCTTAAGATACCCTGGACGCGGCCTAGGACGATGGCAACTGGAAGTAAATTCGCAAGGTCTTCAATTTAATTTGCATAAATGTCATGCCACTTGATGGCCTCCACCTCAGTTGTGGCGGTGACAAAGTTCATTTTGGCGGCCTCTCAGAAAGGTGAGTTATTTTCCGACTTTTCCCCTTAAAATAACATGTTTTGCCCAAAATTTGTCAACATTATTATAAAGAAATAGATTCCTAAACTGTTCAGTTCAATTTTGTTTTTATAATTCAGTTTTAGCGAGCTTAATAGAGGGAAAAGTGAGCGTCAAGTCTTCAGAAAGAAATCCAAAAAGCAGGTAAATCTGGGGAAATTTCCTCGCACAGAGTATTGCTTTATTTCTTATTTCACCTTGATTTTATCGTGTGAAACTAATCTGTGGCAGGTTAGGACCGCACTACACTCTAAATCTGCCATTTCTTCAAGGTCAAATCTTTTGTACTCTTCATATGGTAATTCTAAGTTCTTTGAAAAGCTGCATCATAGAGGAGCACAAATTCTTCATCAGAAATGATGTCGGCCAAATAGGCTCCTGCTGAAAGCTCTCGGGTCTTCTTAAACAATATCATAACTTACAGCGAAACCGCCTGATTCTCTGACTGAACCTGTTTGTTGGTATGACTTGCTTCGGCCACCGCTTGCACAACGCAAATCTTAAGGTTTCTTTTTCAAGTGCAAAGGTGGTGGTTACTGCCCATGTCCTCTCAGACGTGACCACGTTCTTCAAGGCTGCCGCGTCCAGTATCTTAAAGATCTCTAGTATAAATTTTGTGAATTAAAGAAGTTCCCAAGATCAAGCAAGTTCACAAAAGTTCCAAGGAAGTGGGGTATTGGCCCCTGACAGACCAGCATTTCATGCAGGAGAAGTTGTAATACTTCATGTCCGTTTCTTGCTATCACACTGGAGATAAGGACTTCTGCTGTAATGAGCCTCTTAAGTTCATAGACATGTACTGTTTTACTGTTACATGTACATATCAAACACAAGTATGAGTGTTGTTTCACAATGTAAATTAAAGTATATGGACAGCTCCCACGGAATGGCTTACGAAGACGATCCTTTATGTTATGACTTACCCAGCAGAACACTGGTGTATATCTTTTCCCACTAAATTCATCATCCTTGGAATGCTTGGTCCACATAAGTCACGACACCATCCTGATCCAGTATGCCAACCTGGAAGATAAAGAGATAACAAAAAGATTAGCCATTTATTGTGATCAAGGTAGTGCTGCTGTAACAATACATCCTTGAAGACAATATTATTGTCTGTTACCAGTGGCAGATCCACAGATTTTCACTGGGGTGACTCTGGGGTAGGGGGAGACAGAAAGAAGGTGCTGGGAGGAAGGCAAAGTGAATAATTTAAATCCAAGACAGAATTTTTTTCTTAGAAGTGTTACCAGTTCACACATCATGTGGCCAATACTGTAAATATTCTAATAACAAATCTCTCCCAAACGTAAAACACAAAAACAAGACCAATCCAAAACATAGAAAATCATCCTATAAATTTTCTCCCGCCCCCTTTCCCAACCCTCCCAATGCGTATGAATCAGTGACTGAACGCAAAGATATCAGCGTACCTTCTTTCCTTTCCAAAGGAGTCCATGCTATCTGTGTCGTAACAGTACTTTTACCAACTCCTCCTTTACCGGACAACTAGAATCACGTGCTTGATAGATCTTATCACTTCTTCAAGAGTTTGCTCTGACTGACCTGAAAGTTACAAACAAAAACCACTTCGTAACCCAGTGGGAATTACAGTCAGCGCCTTTGCTGTACTCTGCTCGGACTCTAGAGAGAGAGAGAACAATTCCAACAATGTCGCTAAGCATGCAAATAACATATTAAGTCTTAGTTTGCCTTTAGCCTTCAGACAGAAGGAATTACCGTGACTGGGCACATTTTCCAGCCCTTTTCCGTAGAGGAAGCTGGAATTTTTTTATTCGAAAAAATAACATAAAAGGACTTACACTTCGGCCTAGTTTTACTTTAAAGAAAAAAGAATAAATACACCCTTTCTGCAAACAGCAATTTTTAACACATTCGTTGTACGACAGTACCCAGGACAGTACTCACCCGTCCGCCATCTTGAATTTGAGAAGGAAACTGCTGGTCATCCCCTCCTACAGTCGGCTCAAGAGGCATTCCAGCAGCTCGCGCTTGGAACCTGTAGCTGAAAGGTCATTCTCGGAGACCCAGGGGCAGGTAGAGTCAGTCGTGGTGACGCAATATTTTCGGTCGACGCGATATTTTCTAACTGCCCCTTGGTCTCCGAGGACACTGAAAGGTTGGCCTGAAATGTCAGTCATCTTCCACCTTCAGCCTAATCGTCAGGGGATTAAGCTGAGGGTGAGAGGTGACTGGCATTTCAGGCTACTGAAAGATAATCGTTGGATGTTGTCCTTCAGTAGCATTTTGAATGAATTGGTAAAAGTTCAATTGAGGCCTTACACAACTGTAAAATGATATTAAAATCTTTTTAAAAATCCAAGCTTTCGCCGATCTACGGCATCATCAGTGATGATCCCTGATGATGCCGTAGATCGGCGAAAGCTTGGATTTTTTAAAAGATTTTAATATCATTTTACAGTAGTTGAGGTCATGAACTGGAAACAGGGAAAACCGGTTTTGACGGAAATAGCTTTTAGTTTGTATATGTTATCTCATGATTTCCAGTGCAGTTTGCAGTAAATGAAATAAATAAGCAAGTAAATTTTTCAAAGGCTAAAAAACATTACACGAGCCCGTAAAGAGCGGTGGGTGTGGGTGTGGGTGTGGGTGTGTGTAGGTGTGTTGTGAGGAGGGGGGAGGGGGAAGGGAGTTTCAATTTTTTAGTCCGAAAAAATTACGAGTGCTTTATATGGCACGAGGAAGTCGTGTGATTACTTGTTAATAATACGAGTCAACCAAAATCGATTTTTTTTTTTTAAGTGTCTTGTTACAGTTAAATTTGGTAAACACAGTCTTCCATGCCCTGTCTGTGCCCTGTGGGTGTTTGTAATAAGATGTCTTTATTTGGTCAAGGGGAAACGTGTATCAGAACTTCAACCACAAGTAAACAACGAACATCTTTGTCATTCAAAGGACTCGGGACTGATGCTGAAGTTGAACGTAACTTGCGGCTCAAGGGTGTTTGTTAGTGGGGAAGACCCGCTGCACGATGTGAGTGCAGGCGCAAGGTTACACCCGAACCTCTGTGGAGAGAGCTGCAGATCGAGATCTTTCCTAGAATTAGATAATTATCAGTAAAGAAGAATTCTTTCAATTATCCCAATAGAATCATAACTGGCACATTAAGACTTGAAAGGAATGACTTTATTTTTTTTAACATTGATATCCAACAAAATGTCAACATTTTTGTGAAATAAATCAATGTAAATAAATATATCAATAGTAAAATAAAATTATTTTAATCTATACATAATTCATGTAAAATTTGTATTTGAACCAATGTAAAAGGAGTTGATTTTATTCTTTCTCCTAAACTAGCATAACCCTTCATGCTCATTTTTATCCAAATGACATACACGAACAACTACTACACATAATTTAATAATTAAACACAGTGCAACAATGTACATTGTACACTAAATGTTTAAATGTAGTTTAACAGCATCATGGCTGGTATATCCTGTGGCAAAAGAGAGGAAAAAGGCCAAAAGCTAGTTCAATTCTTACTCCAACCATCCCCTTCCTTACCCCACTGTTACATGTAACAATCCATCAACCCATCACAAATTACAGTAACATCTACACGTTTAACTTCAAAATGACATTGCTGAACAATGTTAAAGGAGTCTGAGCTGAGCTTTTAAAAGTAAAAAGCCCTTGAAGTGTCCACTTATTGCAGGTTTTGTGTAACAAAATGGAACAATATTGGTGTTAGTAAGGTTTCCACTGAATGCAGGTTTATTTACATGAAATGTGGGAAGAAAATTTAGGCACTCAAGCTGGTGTCCACTTATAGAGAGTGTCCGCTTTTAAATAAGTGCTCTGCTTAACACAGGTTTCACTGTATTTCAGAATCGTTTTTGATTTAGCATATATTAAGTAATTCTGGTACTTAAATCTACTCAAAATATCTGCTTCTTTCTCACTAAATTTGTTGAATTGTTTGTTAGTGTGAACATGTAAGAACTTCAGAGAATCACTTTTGATACAAAAAAAAATTATACATATCTATATGCACCAAAACCAATGTAAAGCTTTTTCAGATCTTAACATCCAATTTCTATACAATATCAGTAACTTCTGTAATAATTTAGGTTTCTAAATTACCATAAATTTGAAATTACTTTTATTTACATTTATTTAATTTTAAATTTCACATCTAGTAAAACATTCTCTCTCCAAGAATAAACCAGTCAATGGCCATGGATCAGGTACATTAACCCTATCCTAATTAAAAATACAATGTAACTTTATGTAAAAAAAAAAATAAATAATAATTAAAAAATATCATATGACTTTCCATTTAAACCCTTTTTTATAGCTTCTTACAGTTGCCATGCGATATACAGCTGTAATCTTAATTCTTGCTATATACAAAATATACAAAACTTCTTGATCAAATTATAGAAGAAGACAATATACGAATACCTCAAACTAACTACACGTACAACATCTCCAGTAAGGGACATGGTAGTAAGGTGTAAAGGAAAAAGCTTTTGAGATGAAACTTGGACAAAGATGTGTCATGAACGGTCCTCACAATAAATTTGAAATCTTTAACACACACAGTTTTCATTCCATGCAAACTACATGTATGACATAACCACCGAAAGATCGATGAAGAAGGTTCCATAATCTCAGTAACCGTTGTTATTAAAAATATTACTGATACATTTAACATTCTATATTTCAGTTCTACTAGTACATAATATTAATTACCAAACAAGGAGTAAAGCTCGGTGAAAGAGTCACTGCTGCTGATTATCTCGTATTCACCAGACGGGTCATCAACTGATGCTCTTCTGTCGGCAGTTTTCTTTAGTCCAGAAATAAAGTCATTGAACAGGCTTCGTCTCCGCTTACCATAAGCTTGCCCACCCGATTCTAACTTCAGCGGTTCTGAAGAAAAGTGGCCCACCTCAAATGCTACAACTGCAGCATGATCTAACTTCCCTGGTAACTCACGCATGTGCCGTGAAATTTCTTTGTCCCTAGCCCTGCGAAATTCCTTGTTTGATACAACTAGGTTGTGATCATCACGGTCTACTTGTTCTAGGAAAGATCGCTTTTTCTCAGTGCATCTACACACATGTGAAAGGAGCTTTGCACAGACTTCCATTGCTGATATGTGATCTTCAGGGCCTTCTTCCTGGATAACCTGTTAAAATATATGTTGATTAAAAATGTTATCTGGCAATACCACAAGGCTGGTACATAGGAATGTTTTATCTTTATTGATTTCAAATGTAAGAATACTAGACAGGTGCTAATTAAATTTCCTTGCCGAGACATTCCAGCTCACATCATCTCTCAATGTCATCTCTCATCTCTCAAGCCCTGGCCAAATGATTACAACATTTCAATGCAACATGTCGCAGTATTGTTGGAATGGTTGCAACACTCTGCACGTGTTTGGCCACCCTGTTGCAACGTGTTGCAACATGTTGGGTGTTGTTGGCTCAAGCTTGAAAAAGGTCAAAACTTCATGCAACTTTTGTGGATGTTGCCTGTTGTACTTATTTGGCCAGGTTTGTGCGCTAGGGCATGCACACTAGGTTTTTGATTTGCAACACCCAACATATGGAATGTCACAACAGGGTGGCCAAGCACTTGCAACATGTTGCCCCCACTAATGTTGTGATATGTTGCATTGAAATGTTGCTATTGTTTGGCCAGGGCTTCAAAATCATCAAGAGCAACATTACCTTAGTCATCTCATGAAGCATTGTCTTGTGTCTCCAGATAGGAGGGTCGTGTGTTTGGTACCTGGGAATGTCATGGTCGCTTTTAGAACTTTGGCCCATGGAGCCCCCTTTATTGTCCTCGTCAAATTTACTTTTACTCTTTGAAATTTCATCCAGCATTGAATCAAGACTGTTAGCACGTCTCAAACCAGGAATTTCACAATGTTTGCATTGTGCAATTACGGGATCAAAGTTGTCTGAAACGCCATCACTTGTGAGGAAGACAATGTCTCCAGGGTCAAGAACAGTAAATGAGAAAGTCAGATTTCTTAAGTCTGGATTGTAACCATCAACAGGGCCAAGAGATCCCCCTGGGCAACGCATGTCTCTTTCCTCACTGTCATAGTGTGAGCCGATGGTCACTTCTTGTACACCTTTACTTGTCTTGTAAGTAAATGCGAGGCTGTCACCAACATTGACTACACAGAGACCCCACCTTCCACTAGCTTCAAGTTGACAAACAACAGCTACACATAATGTTGTCATTGTTGCATTGTTGTCAATGATGCACTCCTGTGCATGCTCAAATGCCTTAAGAAGAATACTCATAATGTCACGAGTAGTGTTTGCCGTGTAAAAATGACTGCTTAAATATTGTAGACAACCCGCAACAGCACAACGGGCAGCAAGTCTTGACTTTTCACCCCAATTTACACCATCAGCTAATGCTAGAATGCAACTGTTTTCTCCAGCTACCACCGCATAGACATCTGCAACTGGATCTCCAGAAGTGCAGTTTGTAACAGGATCACAGTCGTACAATGAGGTTCCAATACCGTATGCTCGAGGGTGACGTTTTGTCCATTTGCCAAAGGGTTCGCAACCCTTTGCTTTCTTGTTTTTCTTCCATTCAGATTTACTGGTGGGAGATATGGGCTCTAGAGTGATGTTCTTAACACCCTCTTCAGGTCCTGTAGCTGCAGCATGTATTCCTTTGCTGGGTGGTACAATTCTATGGCATGGTAGGTCGCCGTAGTGTCTACTCCAGTGTACTTCATTTTGTTGCACCATTATTTCTCTGATGTAGGAAAAAGAGAAAACCAAAAAGTTAATAAACAGACTGCCAGCAGACTGCTGTAGATTTGATGATTCTTGTCAAGTTTCTTGCAGGAAATGAACAAGTTCTCTGATGGCACAAAGCAAAAAAAGTTCTTTACAGGGAACAAAAATACAGTACTATAAGTAGCCATGCAACATTACGCAGAGTAATTGAAGAATGTACATGTTGGAGATGGTAGCTCCAGCCCTCAAGTCTCTTGAAGACATAAATTATTTCCTTGATGAGCAACTGGAGAAAACTCTGCTAGAGAAGCAGATTTTCTGGAAACATTTAGAGACATATGTAAACAAACAGTGGTAAGCCTGCACTTCAACTTCCTCACCCACTGTCACTTCAAAAATGGATGCTTTAATTTATTGCCGACACACTGAAACATCCACTATGTAAGATTTCATCCACATCTTACGTAGTGGTACAGCATACAAACATTTTCTTTTTTTATTTAAAGTAACACATCTTTAACAAATTACATGTACAAACATTAGATTATGTCTCAGCCAGGCCAGGCCCTCCCCAAACACATCCCCTCTCACATCCACTTTAAAGCCTCATGTTCGCATTTTTTCTCAAAGCAGGAAAATAATATATTTATTCTCTCTTCTGAGTACAATGTCACCTACTACATTATGTGCCAAAATAGAATTCTGTGAGACTCGAAAAACTAAAATTATGTAAATAAAGGATTCTGTTCCACGCTATAAACAGCTTGAATTCCCACAATGAAAATGACAAAAGAATGGCCTACTCTTACATAATAGTATAGCAGAACCTCACGCGACTTTGCCTTCAAACCATAAAACCTTAAATAGGGTGAAAATTCTTTCCAGCTAACACGCCAAAATATAACTACATATTATTAGAAATTACCAACCCACTCAATAAGTACATCTGCATTCAATAAAATGTTCGTGTATTCAAAAAACAACAGTTTAACAGGTGAACATTTACTGAGATGTGACCACACTCACGTGTAGCGGTCGCGTGACCTCATACATTGACAATTCCCAAAGAAATACAGAAGAATTTAGCTAGAAAATTTTTAAGTAAATCTTCGAAACATACCATTTCATATAAGTTGAGATCGCTTAGTTACGAACTGATTAGCGAGTTGATCATACCACAAGAAACTTTGACTCCATTTTAACCACTTTCGAATGACACGTCTTTTTGTAGAACTGCGTGCGGTGTTATAATATAACGAAGACATAAATGCATGTACATTCGAAAAGATATTAAGTGTATGCTCCGGAATTCAAGAGCGAAAATTTAACAGCTGAAGACGCAAAAACGCAGTTAACACCAGTCGCGTAACATCTAGATCTCTAGCTGACTCTACAAAAATAAAGACAAATTTGGTTTTATCACTGTTGGAAATTTGCAAAATATCTCGAGAACGAGATGAAACAAATCGAAAGCGAAATTTAAACCCTACCTTTTTCTCTTGCAATATTTTCGCCGTCATAGAAGAATGACCCCGTTCTAACTTCTATCCAACTTGAACGATCGAAACCACTTCTCGCGAGCAGTTTCGATTTGCAGCTGGCCGTAGGCGTTTTCAGTTAAAACTGTAATCTAGCGCTCTTCTCTGCATAGATTAGTACGTAATTTAATGCTAAAAAATTTGACAATACGCTTCTAACACGTCACTAAAATAAACAAGTGAGGTCGTGACCTCCAGTGAGCGAAAACAGACACCTTGAATGAGTAGCCGACACCACATTACCATTTTTAACGGAAATGGCTTTTTGTTTCAGTTAAAATTTGGTAAACACAATCTGTAATTTGCTCTATGGTTAAAAATAAGACTTGTCTAAAGTTAGCTCTAGCAGAAATAATCACCGAAATTCAATCCAAATGAAAGTTTCAAGTACCTATCAGAATACAATCGTGTTTGACAAAGATTTAGCGCGAGGTTTCGATCAACATCTCTCGTCAGCCACGTACCAGCTTTTTGAAAGTTTTCTGTACGTTGTTAGTCATTTTCCTGTCAAGGGTATAGGAAGAAAATATTTAACGCGAAGTTACGAGGACCCTGGATGATATAACTAAATCAGTCACATTATGCGACTGACCTCCAGTTCATATAAGGGTCCTACATGTTGCAATAAGCTGCAAAAGAGTCCACCGAATCAAATTTACTAAACTAGTTTTGTTCCCCTCAATCAAGAAGACTTTTATCACTAGACCGTTTAAACAACTGCCTACCTAATCGCGTCTTGCAGTTTCTTAGAATAATCCACTTCTTCGGCAACAGAAACAGTGTCCCCGTCCGAATTGCAGTCGCTGACGATACCACTGTCAGAGCTAGTCGAACTTTCTCTGCAAAGCGCGTTATACATAGTGTGTGAACTACAATAACTCCAGTATGCGCCTTCGATGTCGACCATTTCGCTGTTTAAGTCTTTCTAACCGCTTACACCCTCACACCAGGACGATTTCGCAGGTTACTAACCGAAGATGATAACTTCGCCTTTATGTTCATCTGAGTACCACAAGGTAAAAATCACGTGATGACGTTATCCGTGATGATGACTTTATCCGTGATGTTATGCGTGACGTCACTTAAAATGCGTAACACCACCAACGCAAAATTTCGCAAGCGTTATTTGGAAAACCGATCTTTTTCTCGAGTATGATCAAAAGCAGGAATGACGGAGCGACAATTGAACGGCTAAGAAGTAAAGAGTTGTTGAAATGTCAATATCTCGATAATTCTTCGTACTCTTTTTTTTCTACTAAACTTGAACACCTCCGTTTAATCCTGGGTTCAGAGTTCATGGTTCAAGTCCAATTGAGTCCACGCGCTTTTACAGAAGAAAGAAAGCTTATGGAAGCAGGGTACCCTCTTTTACAAATAGATATGACGGGTGTAAGTGAAAAATCCAAATTTCCAAGACTGGAAATAAAGAATCGAAGATAATTTTTCATGGGAAGAAGTTAAACCGGGGCCGAGGGATTATGAATAAGGGGCGTGGCGCAGGTCAGATTTTCTTCCTTCCCGCGGGTCTCTGTCACAGTTCTAAACGCCAGTTACCAAAATCTACCCACTTTGTTCGGTTGCTCCTTTATAAAAATTAGTCAAAGATCTTCTTTGTTCACACGTGTAATAATCTCAGTTAAATCAAAATAATTTCTTCAGAAACCAAGGCCTTTAGACTCGAGCATTAAATTTCAACTGAACTTTGATATTAGAATCCAACGAAAAAAAAGCCCTTGAATAACCGGCTCGGCTCTCATGTCATGTGGGGCCTATACTAACCGACCAGCCCTGAAAAAGCTGTAATTATAAGAGAAAAAGGTAAAATATGCTCTAACAAATGCAAGCGTTCACTGTCTTTAGCCTTTTTTAAACTAAGAATATTGTTTTTCGTCCCAGGTTGATTATTCGTATTTTTCTGCCGATTTTGGGCTGAAAATATTCTTGTGAATATTCTTAGCGTATGACATTTCAGTTCGACTTTGGTGTCGGTGAAGTAATACAAGCAATTAAGTCTGATATGACACACATGACTTCTTCCAGAAATATTATTGGCATAGAACAAAGAGTTAATGCTGTTTTTTGGCTAGTTTTACTGTTTGGAGAAAGGCACAATTTCATATGGTTCAGTTAAAAACATATAACTGTTTTGTATTCACAAATTTTTGACACAAAAAATTATATTCTTTTCAAAATCTTAGCCTCTGGTTTATTCTTAAAATATTCTTAGAATTTCGCAAATTTCAGCCTCGATATTCTTATAAAATGTATTCTCACACACACACAAAAAAACGAGTGTATGGTTGAAATCATGGTGGCGGGCCATTCCCCTCGAATTCTTTTTCACTCCTCTAGCCGGCGAACGCACAACGCGGATTTCCGTCAATCTGCAGTCTGTGTTCGACAGACACACCTAAGGCTGCGTCCCAACTGTATTGCTATGGTTTATATTAAGGGTTACCCTCATGAAATAAAGTCCTTATTTGATCACTTTATCAATGACATGGCCGACATTTACTGTCGAAATTTGAACGGTCTCCTTGAACGTACTTTGACATATTACAAGTTTTCTGATTTCTCAAGATAGATAGATTTTTGTAATTTTAATTGCTCTTTGTACAGTAATCCGAAGTCCCTCGCCTTTCACAGTTGAACTAATTCAGTAATTGATAACATTTCAGCAAGCGTGACTAATCAAGATTCATTTGTATGACTTAAACCACGACAATCAGAAGTCAATGGATTTACTCGCGCTTCAATATGGATCAAAACTAGTGGATTTTTCCAATGATTTTAGGGCCTCGTCCACACTACGCCGTAGGAATTTGAAAACGCAGCTTTATTTCTACGGTTACGCCTACCGTCCACACTAATCCGTCACGAGAACGGAGCTTTACGAAAACGCTCTTCAAACCGAAGGAATTTGAAAACGCCGCTTTGCGTCTTAGTGTGGACGGAAATCTTTTTAATGTGATTTCCCTGGGCGAGTTTTCCTCAACCACAAATCCAAAATGATCGGTGGTTGTTGCGTTTTCAAATTCCTCCGGCGTAATGTGGGTGGAAAACATTTGATGCGTTTTCAGAATGAAACTTGCGTTTTCAAATTCCTCCAATGTATTAAAACAAACAACATATCGGGTTACATCAGCACGATATGGGAACCTTATTTTTTGGTCAGCTTCCTTTTTTGTTTCGTTTTTTATCCTCTTTTTGGTCTACGGAGTAAATTTTAAATTTGCAAATTTTTATCAGGAAAAACTGGGACGTTTTCCAACCTCTTGTTTTTCGCGTCTGCTTCATACTGCACGGAAATCGAGTTGTTTTCCTCCTACTGAACAGGCTAATCTCACGCATCTGAGCTGTGCCACGTTATGAACTCGTGTACGTTCACGCTCTGTATTTGTACATCGCGAGTTTATTGATAATCCCTTGTTTTGATGTTTGTATATTGTACAACTTACAGTTAAAGATCTTTGTACTTTCTCCGAATTCACTGTTCTGTCGAATTCAGAGGCTGTATTGATATGCTGAACTGAGAGGGTGTAAGCACGTCTAAGCAACACCCTGCCCTTTCCAGGTTTCGTTTCATTCACGTCTCGGGACGAAACGACGTGACTTCTAACTCAGTGAACATCAGTGTTTGTGAGCGTTTGTCGTAAATGGATTGCCTAGTTCCTAGGCCTTGATATTTCGCCTCATTCAATCGTCTTCGGGTGACTTGGTCCGAGGAGAAAGCCGTACAGGATCTAGGCAAGTAAATGGATAGAGTCTGAAAGAACCCAAGAAAGATTGAAGTATAACCAAACGTGTGGAAAATCTCTTATTTCCTAGCTAGGCACTGATTGTCACAAGGAAAAACCAAGATATATCTTTTCTGTTTTGTGACTAATTCACAGTCGTGTTTTGATCCGAATGTTCCCTTGCCTCACCAAATGAAAAAAGGCCCGATAAAAGGGCTAAAAGAGAAGCTATAAAAGAGCCAAGAATATTTTGTCTCTAGGGAAATGAACGAGTGCAAAATTTAAGCAAATTTAGGAGGGAGGATGACCAAAACTTACAGTCAAATTTGCTCGAAGGAAAACTAATTTGTTTAGGTAAAAATCAGCAAGGAGGTGATATTGACAGGAAACCAAAAAAGATTCCATATGGTTAAGATGAGAGAACGAGTCAAGATTATACGCTCTTCTGAAAAACGTCCCAGTGTGTACGCATTATGGACCTATTTTGTGCCGGACGAGTTCGAGAGGTAGCACAAAGAACTCTTCACGAAACCTGACCTTAGCAAACTATGTGCAAAGCAAATCGAGAGCACGAGACGGCCTCGTGACTGGAACTAAAAGGCCAACAAACACGGCAACTTCACAATTTACACAATGGGGCCATTTTCTCAAATTAACTTGCCTTTCTTTGTACGTTTAATAATTTACAGAAGAAAAAATACGGTAAGAGACGAAAAAGGTGGAGCGGGGGAGGGGGGCTTTCAATCGTGTATCGGTGTAAGAAAACACACTAAGCTAGCAAGGATAAGAAGAAACACTTGTGTAATAAAAAATTAGATCCATCAGCACCATGAATGTCTCGTGACTCTTGAACCTGAGACAAACATTCATGTTCTATGAGTAACCATAACGCAGAGTAATGATCGAAAATGTGTTATTCTTTGAGCATGAAAAGTGTTTAATTTACCGCCCCGAGCGTTTGATTGACACAAATGTGCCCACCAGAATGTGATAGATGTACAAAAAGGGATTCACCTTCATAAATTCTGTATTATCCAATGTTTTAAGGGGACTCTCCCTCGGCGAACAACTTGCTTATAGGGCAAAACCCGAATTTATTGTTCGTGTGTATGGAAATTTCGTGGTCAGAATGATTGTAAACATTTCACTTTCTCTTCATGGTTACTTGATATTTTGCTCAATTTACCGATCAAATGGTTATTGTGGAGAAAACCGCAACGAGTTTATCAACTTTATTAATTGTCACGTTCAAGGAAGAGCAACCAATTCGCATCTTCACTATTGATGTTGAAAAACTAATCTATCAAATAAATGTGCTGAAAGGTACGCGAATACGTGCGCTGGGTTAGTGTTCCTGTTTTTTTTGCAATAAAATGTAAATATATGAACTCATTTTGACATCAACATCCGCTTTCTAGCTTCATCCTCTACTCGAAGAAAAGACATTTTAATACAGATCGGAGGAGAAAGCCACTGCATTGTACACGATTAGACCTGTGTTTTGCCCGTGAATCGCCGTCAACCTGCTCCAAAGTTGATCCTTGCTCTCCTATACCGTGTAACGTCTTGACGCACAAGCCACGACGAAAAGTATGCAGCTCAAGGCCTCTTATTTGTGCCAAGATTTGAGTTCTTGATTCAATAGATTAGAGGTAGAGAATATAATCAATGACAAATTAAGCTCATTAAAATAGCAACGCGAAGGAAGCAGAAATCTAAACAATACATTTGGCGTGAATGTAGGGAAAACTCTTCAACAAAAAATCTTGACCTCGTGGCAAATTTTATAGTAATGCGATTTCGAGAGTGCGAAACAGAATTCAGCATTACGTTCTAGTCGTGTTACAAGCCACAAATTCCTGTTATCTCCGGTAGTGTTAGTCTAAACTCGTAGCGTCTGGGTGCAGAAGGTATTTTAATTTGTACTTGTAGTTCCTTGCTCGAAAACCGCTCTAACGCATGTGTCCCAAACGGGAATCGAAAAACGAGCCAGTGGATTTCTCAGTTTCTCTCTCTCTGTCGATAATCCACGCCTGCATCGAGAGGTTATTAGCAGAAGCCGTGTAACACGGATTGAGTAAACTAAACTTACCTTAGACCTGGCGTCACAAACCATCTTAGCAAAGAGTAACACACGCTTTCAGATTCAAACTTGCGCTTCGCTGTAATCTTCACTGGATTATACGACGTGTGTCCCGTAATAGAACTCATCCGTTATGATTAAACTGTTACAAAACAGCTACACGAAGACTTCAATACGTCATTACACCTTACTCTACGTGTTATGTGTCTTCGCTGGTACTCTAACAAT